TATCAAGTCCAAATAAAAAAACCGATTAACCGCAAAAAAAAATTGCTCGTAATCTTAAAATTTCGCGGATAGACATTTTTTACTTAGTATTTTCGCTGCGTTAACAATGGGAAATAATCCGTTAAAATGGACTTTTTTATCTAATTGGAATGGTAAACAAGCTGATGGCCCACCTGGTGGTAAGCGGCAACCGTCGCCTTCGGGAGAATTCGATATGTTTTTACTGTTTTATCTTTTTTCAACCGAAATACATTTCACGAAGGAAGCTGCTTGGCCGTTAAAATATGTGAGACTAAAATACACCGTCGACTTTGTACGGTGTAGCTCGGTATGTCTTATAATCCACTGATTGTAATATGCAAATATATATCTCATATTTACAAGTAGACAACAGGGAAAGTGGCAGATGAACAAATAAATTATGACTATGCATGAAATCTTTCATGGCCTGATTCCTCAGTCGAGGCCGTAACATTATCTATGACTTTCCTTCGGGTCTGATCATATTATCGTTGCCATGCTTTAATTGATTTTTTAGTCTTCAAGTCATGTAACTGTAAATATTGCATTCATCTGAAGAAATACTTCTATATACATATTTTTTTATGATAATGTGAATTGTTACTGTTTGTGAGGACTGGCCCGTTTGAGTTACGGCCCCTGCATAAATTATTACTCTTTGATAAAAATGGAATAACATAATATGCTGGTAGTCACTAGAGTATAGTTTGTTGTCATTTCTTTGTGGTTTTTAACTATGTTCCGAATATACAGTACATTTTATTTATCATAAGTGTCTGTAATGAACCTAAATATATTTTGATTTGATTCAATATTCTTTTCAACTGATTGCTGAAAGAATTATGTAAATTCAACTGTTCTTCATTAAATTGCTCTTAACAGATTTCAGTAATCAGCATCAGTGGACTCTTTGTGGATTCTTTTAACTCACAGGTTTCCATTATACGTTGAGCATGAAATATACTCTTTATGTAATATATTCAGATAATCAACATGATGATCGTCTGGAATATTGCTTATGCAGTAATATGGATATTTTGTGAAACAATTGGAATGGTAAAGAAGCTGATGTTACGGAACCTTCAACAGATCATCATCATATGATACGACGCCCCAACAGACTATAAACGGTAACAGTCGCCTATATACCGAAACAATACTACTGACATTACGTTAGCATGCTAACAGTACCTCAGTGATACCACCACTCATGCGTTGTCCTTCCGGTGGACTAAGATACATACATACATACATATTTGCCTTACTGTAATTTGTTAAGTCGTTCACACAACATCGGCTCAGCCGAATGGGTGATAAATAATATTATGCGTAGATAATTTTACAGCAATACAACCCAATTTAGTCGTACTACAACTTTACCTTGAATGGACACTTTTTTTGGCGTTTTATATTTACCATCCAACGGTATGCAAATAGATTAATTCTGTCACGTACATCGAAAGAATGCTTTTGTGTTTTGTGTACAAACCCCATCTTGAACGTATTGTATGAACTATTGATGTTAGTTTTTGTGATGAATGAAGTATGGTGTTATATACTGTTTATTTGACTACGTAACACGCAGTCGCGAGAATTGTATAGTTTTCCTTTAACTGTTTATAAATCGTGTCAATATTTATTTTATACAATATTATAGTGTAAATGGGAGTTATATGGAGGAACCTCTCCTATTGAAACGATTTTGAAAATTATTTTAGTGTTACAGTAACTCACTAACTTCAGTACAGACATTGTAACAATGAAAAACTTGCACTGAGCCAAGCGAATCGATTAGATTGACATTTTTGGCATGTTTCGGTCATCAACCGCCGTACTGTTACAAATTTTGTTGTCATACTGTACCATTCTGTTGCAAGTAACTGTCTATTTCAACTAACGGCTGCATGATCAGACATTATTTTTTTTTACTTCTACCAGGCTTCTCAATTGCTAATTCTTTGAATTGTCTAATTTAATGCTCTATTGTTTTTATAGAAATTGAATGGCACATTTCACGGCTCACCTTAAAGGGACATTGTAGACGTCGTCAATATATGTATATAAGCATAACCGTGGATCTCACAAATACAGTATGATGACCGTCTTAACTCTCATGACTTATTGATACCAATTAAGGTGCCTTAATATAATGGAATTTCATTCCCATATATTACTCTTTCAAAACGTCATATCCAACAGGTAGGCGTTGGCCTTAATTTGTTAACAGATTTGAAATGTCTTTTTCACTCGCTCCCTTTTTTCGTTTAAAAGTCAGCTACGACATACATATATTCACCCGGAATATAGCTTGCAATATAATGCTTAACTAAAACAATATGCTTTGATTACCGTTCTTAGGTTCAAAACATTTTGGGGATAAAATAAATTACATTGGTAATTACACACTCACTTCTTACTGTCTCTGGCATTCTCTGGAATAAGTTCTGCAACATGCCACTGTGATTACAACTAATCTGAATATAATTTCGATCAGTGACATAGAGCTCATCATGATTGATGGCGCTATCATCTGATATGGCTTTGATTACTGTTTAGAACTATGATTTATTAGTCGTTACTGTGCATTTTTTAACAGTCAGTGCATTATATGTCTCACGTTTTTCTGAAGTGTTATTATCAGAGTACTTTTTAATGTTGGTGTATGTTCGTTCTACTTTAAAAAGTTTACAGCTTTTCTAATACCATATTAATTTAGTGAACATAATAAAGTAAAAAAATTACCAGTTGAGTTACTTATCCAGTTCTTCTCAACTGAAGTATGTAGTTAGCTTAACTGTACTGTACTGTACTGTAGGAATAGTGATAAAAATTATGATGTACATAAGAGGCCGAAAGGTCACATGTGAATAAATAAATGTTTTTTAATTTGAGTTTGAGTAATTTAGCTGTTAATGATAATAGTATTTTCCTAACAATATAATATATTATGTACCCACGACTGCGGATACAATCTGTTTTTTTAAATTATTTAAATCCGTTCAGCCGAGAATAAATAAATTGAAAGGGATCCATGGTATATTATTAAAATTATAGACACACACTTCAATTCAAACTTTTTTAATACTTGCGCGTGTCGTGCTATATGGTTAGGTTTACATCTATTATCTTAGTGGAAACAATGGTTTAAAAAAAGTGGTTTATACAATAATGCAGTCAGCATTATTGTATAACATAGACGTGTGATTCGTAAACTAAAAAATAATAGGAAACACGTCATTTGAAGATGTTTTTAACAGTTACATTTGCTCTAGCACATTTCTTCTAAAAACTTACATTGCAAAATGTATTTCGATGTTAATGGTGATATTTGGCAGTCAAATTAATGTGTAAGGCGGCATACCCATTAAGTTCTTAGTTCACTTGCATTATGCTTTAAATAAGAAAATGGATCCATTTTTTTTATTACCAGTTTAATTACTGTACTTTTAACAATAGAGAGTTGTTTTTTTCTTAAACACTAAGGGTCGTTTTAATATATCTTCTAATACTACTATCATTAGTGTGTTAACCCATATAATTCTAAGTAGATACGACAGTTCCTCATAGTTTCAGACTATTACTGTGGCTGGATGACAGCCAGACTGTAATGCATTGACCTGTACATTTATTTATAACATACTATCATAGCACGTTGTTGACTCCTTGCTTGACATGGCTGACATAAGTATTAACGTTTCTTAAGGGCCGGCAACGCGGACGTGACACCCAAAAACCATGACCCCCTGTTTTAGGCTACGGTAGTCTTTTACCATGAGTTAGTCCGTATGCTTATTTGCTATCCTCGAGGTATAAAAAAATGCGGTAAGGGTTTTTATTCAGAATGATGATGGAACTATACTTTAAGGGTATACGCTGGCAGGACGTCCGTTTAGTTCCGTTTGTTCGCAAGGACATGACATGGTCAATAGGGCTACAAACATTAATACTAATAAATATAATATCGATTAACACTATGGCCAGAATGTGTTAGTTAATTTAGTATTTTACTTACATAAATACGAGTATAAAACAGATATTTTTAGATCTATGATCTACATCGTAAACAGGACTCAGGTTGTATGTACTAATCCTATACCTACATAAGTTTATAAGCCCAAACATGTTGTTTGTTATCTAGATTAAACCATTAGATATTCTTTTTAATAGAGTCATCTAAAATACTGAGTAGTCATCATTAAAAAATACTGACTTCAGTTAACGCCTTACTAACTCTATTCTTACTGTTTTTATTACAATATACAACACTTTACACGTTTAATAACTAACTGCAGACTATAATTTCGTGCCTCCTAAATCTTTGGAACTTCTGAACTTTAATATTTATTACGACGGCTGTTCCGTCGTCTTGGATAATATCTTCTTTAACGTGTTATTACCTATTGTTAGTGATAACTTAATTGGTTTCTTTCTCAGCGGCAGTAAATTCGATACTATCGTATAGAAAAGTAAAAGTCATGGTGATTCGTTATTAACTGCAATCAAGTTATAGTGAGACATTTTTATTATATACAAAGTCACGTCACCTGTGTACCCCACTTTACGTCCTCACAACTAGTTTAGCCGAAGTGATATCAGAATCCTCTTGAGCAACACATGAGTGGTATTAGGGGTGTGACATGATAACGTGATGTCAGTAGTGATGTACCTACGAGTATGCAGGCAATGGTTACCACTTGGTGGGTCCGCTTATTAGCCGTTCCAATTACCTACATTGAAATAAACTTCGTTTTGGTTGGAATGGGGTGAGATATAGAAATTACAGGAGGCATGGCAATACATTCACAATTTCTTGACCTGTCAGGCGTAAGTAGGGAATTATTACATCTTCGGAATGTCTAAGAATGAAAGTAACAGTTTAAATGTGGTCCTAAACAATAGTCCCGGCAGACCCTTATGACACAACGTCCGTGTTTCCGTTAAGTACTTTTTTTTCTAAAGTTAATTTTCTTTTATTCCAGATATCAGACATAGTGGTGGGACAAGAACCTAACGTAACCGCCCGGGAGGCGTTGCTGAGCTGGGCTCGGCGGTCCACTGCCAAGTACCCAGGCGTAAGGGTGACCGACTTCACGTCGTCGTGGCGTGATGGGCTGGCCTTCAACGCGCTTATACACAGGAACCGTCCTGACCTGATAGACTGGCGTAATATCAGGTAATAATTGTTAAATTTTGCACAATATCAGATATTTTTATGAACGATTACGGAAGGGGACCTAGCATTAGTAGTAGTGACAACTGTGGCTTGTATTCGTACATAAACAGCATCATATACGTCGTCATATGATGCCGGTCTCTATCTACAATAACTGCTGCTGCTCCCTCCAGTTTCCGTAATGGATTGTTGATATCAATATATATATGTATAAGTTCGTAAACAAAATGTATTGCTATTTGTTCCAGGTCAAGACAGGTGCGTGAGCGCTTGGAGACGGCTTTCCACGTGGTCGAGAAAGAATATGGCGTCACCAGGCTGTTGGACCCCGAAGGTAAGTGAGAGTTTTTATGAAAGAAAATTTTAAAATATGTTCCTATTTGTTTATTTATAATCTCGTTCTCGATTTAGAAGAGCAGGTGAAAGATCAAGTACGGAAAAAGCGATGAATTAACAACAATCTTTTAGTTGCCAATTTTAACGGTAAAACGCTTTTAAGCTCATTATATTCATTAAATAACTTATCGACATATTGAGTGATTATTTAACATTTTTATCATTGAGGGCTGTAATTATTAAAATCATAAAGTTAGCGGTACACTGTAAGATTTGCGATGTGACCAGAAAAACGTTGTCGGTCATATTAAATAACGCGTGGAAGATAAACAAACATGAAGTGATATTATTTGCATATTCGAGCAAGTAAGGAGTTGTTAATAGTTAATTTCTAGTACTCGGAGTATAAGGGCTGCTCAGGACTAATGATATGTACAAAAAACACTATTTAATTGAAATTAACATCGTTGGCAATATTTCACATATAGATTTCTTTTTATGTTATTGGTAAACAAGCTGAATGACCTGATGGTGAATATGAAACGTCGCTTATATACATCAACAGCATCACAGACATTACTTTTTGCGTTGCCGTTCCGGAGGCTATGAAGTCATGTTTTGCGTAACATGATATTTCACTTATCTCACGCTTCAATCTAAACATATCTTACTAAGCAAGCTGCTTGGTGGCTTAAATATGTGGTAAATAGGTAGACGACTCTGTAGAAAAACAAACTAGTGAATTCATAATATAGTAAAGTATACATATAGATGTATATTTGCATCGCTTACGTATCGCTCGGGTCCTAGTGTAGTGTCAACCTAACTGTCAATTACTTTACTATCTTGTACTACGTCTTTGCTCAATTATGTCTGTCCTGTCAAGATATCACCTTTGACATTGAATATATTGATCTCGCGTGGGAAATAAAAAGAAAATCATGATGGATGGAGGATTCTTTTTCTTTGTTAATTTTAAGGTTATTGACTTCGGAGACGTTTACTTGACATAATGTAATATTAGTAAAACACGAAGTAAGATATTTATACTGCGGTAGAGTTTGTACGATATCGTCTGTGTGGGTGCCTTAGTCTCTACTATTTCTGATATCAAGTATCTTTTTTATTAAGCTGTGTTATAAAGTGTGGATGTGTGGTAGTAAAATTTAAACACGAAGAGCGAGGACTCAAAAACGGCACAGTATTAAAGGTTTTTGCCACTTTCCATCAAGTAGTTCACCAGACTGTAACAAATCATATACTCGGTTTCATTTATTTGAACCGCGAAGCAACTTGCTTTGTAAACTGTGTTTTGGTTGTAGGGTGCGATCAGGCTTAAAGTTGCAGGATAAGAGGCATGACATATTAAGCTTTTGGAATGGTTTTGCATTAGTGGTATCACGGTCGCCACATGATAACGTGATGTCCGTGTATATAAGCGACGGTTACCTGGGCTGGGCCTGTAATTTTATTCTACATAAAGCAGGATGAATCAAGATGCAGTGACTTAAATTCTTCAATATCTATCGCGAATAGAATAAATCTGTATAAAACAATAAAACAACAGGACCTGCTGTGAGCAGGTTCATTCATTTAACGAGGCATTGTTAACGCTTCGTTTGGCATCAGCCGCCGTGGTGGTGACGTCATCACTATTATAATACACATTGTATGGGCTATTGTTTTTGGATCGAGATCTATATACGAATATAGAAAAGAAGACTAGTTATACAGAACGTCGTGGCCTAGTGCCTAATCCTCGACTTAAAGAAATCTGGTCGATATTAAAAAACTTTTTGTGTCAATTATTTATTTACTATTTTTTACGAGGGACACTGATTACGTATCAAATTAATCAGGCGACGACGCTAAGCGAAATTTCTCCCCTTACACACATGATTTAAAGTCATCAAGTCAGGCACAAGTTTGTATGACAGACAATTTATCAAAAATTAAAGGATTGAACGGTAGGGAAAAAAAATATAATATTAATTATTTGATGTTCATAAGCGGCTAAAACGTGAATAAATGTTTTTTTAATTTGAATTTGAATTTGATGTCAAAATTGGTATAGTAACAGTTGATGTCTCATCTGAGGGTAAGCGGGAACTGAACGGTGATACCTGAATAGTATTTATTACGAACGTCACGTCATCATATCATGTCTCTTGTACCTTGTAGTATACCATTGCAAACTCAATTGTTCAGTTACTTTTTCTTATAACACAATGATCGTACAATAAAGAGATTTTCGTTGTACGTTACAAGACCGGGCGAACTACTTCACATAGTTCACAAGCCGACATTTGGAATTCTTAAAATCGTGAAACCATAGTGGTGACTAAATCTTGCTGCGTGTTTTAAAGTGTTGTACTTAAAATTAAATGCGGTAGTACGGATGGCGTGACTAATAATATAAGTTTTAATAAAGCCACCTATACACAGGTGACTGTCTACAGTGCTTGTATTCATAGGACGTTTAATAATTAACTGTATTATAACTGAGGGCGGCAGTGGCGTAGTGGTTTACTACCCTATATTTATTGATTTTCTGAGATTTCTTCCAGTGAAGGGAACATCAATATCAAACTGAAAATTTATCCGAGAGACGGCGGTAAGCTCGTCCCTGCCACGTAGGTTTCAAATATATCTTATATATAAAATTCTCGTGTCATAGTTTTCGTTCCCATACTCCTCCGAAACGGCTTGACCGATTCTCATGAAATTTTGTAAGCGTATTGAGTAGGTCTGAGAATCGGCCAAAATCTATTTTTCATCCCCCTAAATGTTAGGGGTAGTCCACCCCTAAATTTTTTTTTTATTTTAAGGCTAAACAACGTTTGCCCGGACAGCTAGTATACATATAGAGAAATGTGAGCATGCCAAGTTGCATTTATCTCGAAAATCGACTGGTAGACAATGCCCATAATGCCATCTAGAATAACAGTCGTTTTGAGAGATGCTCCTCTGGTCCTAATAATATAAAATATTATAAAGTACTAGTATTATAAAAGTGTCTGTTAATGACAAAGTTTAACCGTCCGTAATGAAATCTGACATGAAAGAAAAGACGCGGATATAGCGTTTATCTTAAAATAGCTGACGAAGTCACGGATAACAACTAGTGTTGCATAAAAACTAAATAGACTGTGTGTAGACACTACATAGTTGCGATTTTGAGATAAGCGAGACGTGGCGACGACGTGATTACTATAATTCGCCAGCTGCCGCCACTGTTTAGTGCAATAAACGTAGTGACCTTTAATTTTAGACACATTTGTTGCAAAAAATATTTTTATACAAGAAAATAAAAAGAGAAATGTCACGAAAAGATTGTATACGTTAATTACTGAGACTTATAAATTTTTATCTTAAAGCAATTTTATTTGAAGATGAACGATGGCGTTAAATTTAGGAGGTTTAAAAATTAAAGCAATAGTAATTGTGTTGAATAATAATTTTCAAATGTTTGTGATCGTATTCGTAACTTGACAAGACTAGACATTTCGTTCAATATATTTGAATGTAAACATGTTAAACGGTTCGAGTTCTAGTTGAAGGGTGTGATGAGGCAGTAAATTAAGGGTACGCAGGCATTGTCATCGTAGGCGTCCTGAATAAAATCGCATGAGAGGTACCAAGGTCGTCACATAATGATGTGATGTCGTGATGCTGTTCATGTATATAGGCAACAGTTACCACTTATAACTCAAATACCTTGATATTTACTGACATGTATTTTTTTATTGGCGGTTTTGGGTTATTGTCAGGTGCTAAGATCTGTAGCACTACAACCTGCATATGTCTATTGTGCTCGCCATTTTTCAGTGTTCGAAACCTAAACCTGTCAGGGACAAGAATTGAAGGATATTCTTAGGAGCGATGGTTTCTGTTTCCTCGGGATAGAGTGTATACTTTCCTTCTTTTATAAGGAAATATTTCGTTTGTATGATACAACCACATAGAATGGGTAGCGCCGTTCATCTTGGCAAAAAAAAAGTTTTGCCATGAGTTTATTCAATTTGCAGTGTCCAGAGTTCAACTTAGATAAGTAATACGTCCTTACATTCCAGATGTGGACACCCATGAACCTGACGAGAAGTCCCTCATCACTTACATCTCGTCGCTGTACGAGACGTTCCCTGAGCCGCCGGCGGTACACCCGCTCTTTGACGCCGAGTCTCAGCGGCGAGCGGCCGCCTACACCGAGCAGGCCGCGCAGCATCGTGCCTGGTTGCACGAGAAATGCGCACTTATGCAGGTAGATATATGTATACATAAATTATATATTTATATCTTCAACACGTATTGAACATATACACAAGCACCGTATTCGACGAGGAAGACAAAACATCGTATCTACATGTCATATACTAAGACAATTCAACTTAATATTCCAGGACCGTGCTTTCCCATCAACTTTGATCGAGATGAAAAAGCTGCTCAGCGAGAGCACGCGTTTCCGCAATGAGGAGGTACCTCTGCGACAGAGGGAGAAGCAGAAACTCTTCCACCAGTACAGGGAATTAGAAGTGAGTCGAACAATAACAACAACGTAGGGTTTCACAGAATTTATGAGTATCAATTTCATGTTAGACAGACACCCAAATTTACTTAGATAAGTAAGTACTTATCAGGTTTTTTTAATGAAACCGTAACCTGGACTGGATAGTAGAAATTAAATTATATAAATTTACTTATATATGTAAGTGGCTGAAATACCCTGCTCAAATAAATGTTTAATATCCTGACTACAGTAAACATCCTTTGATATCTTCTTTGGCGACATGGTCTATCAATGTGATTGATACAAAGCAGATGGTCACGGAAACAAACATTTTTATTCATGAATATATTTGAATTTGTCTGGGTGTTTTCTATATATGTATTTAAAAAAAAACGTATTCCAGTATTTATATAGTACCTACTCATAACACAAGTCTCATAACACAAGTTCTGCTTAGCTTAGGACTAGATGGCGCTGTGCGAATTATATTGGGTTATTATTATTATATACCAAAATAAGTCTTTATAAATACGATATTTGCAGAAATATTTCGAATCAGTGGGTGAATGTGATATCGAACCCGCGTTACGACCGGACGCGTTAGAACAATCTTGGTCGCGGCTGATGATCGCGCACCAAGAACGCGAACGAGACCTGAGCGATGAGATCCGTCGCCTGGAGCGACTGCAGCGACTAGCCGAAAAACTCCACAGGTTTGTATCTTGTGCAGGTTGTTTTTATTCATGATAAAGGAATGGTACACCCGCTTGCAGTAACGATATACGCTGGCAGGTTATTCATGAATGATAATACAATGAAAATGATGTCAGATCGTAGGAATAGAGCTAATAGTATTAATAACAATCCGTTATACGAAATTGGGGCAAACTAAAAGGTCGTAGTTACTAAGTAACAAGCATTGTAACAGTTAAAGTAGGTTTATGTAGTGTCTTGTCTGGTTTTTTAGTGTCTTGTGGATCCGACTCAAAGGACCAGTTGTATAAAATTTCACTCTAAATACGATTTTTAGAAAATTAAATGAATGTAGAATTGTACTTCATAATGTAGTGGCTTAACATGCTTTACAATGTTGCAGTCCCGATCTCCATGCAATATATGCTTTTGTATTCGTATTAGAAGACTAATAGATTTTAATACGCTATAAGGACCAATTTCATCTGATACTAAAGGAATTTTATCTAATATATTAGCACTTTTGGTATTCCAAATGTTATATAAAACGTCCTCCACAGAGATATAAAACAAACCGAGGGTGGTCTCGACAACGTCGAGCGACACATTGAGAACGAGATCCGACGGGTGGAGCGCGGCGTACACCCGGCCGAGGCCAAGATGGCCGCCGAACAAATCGAACAGGACCTACTTAGCATGGAGCACACCATACAGGAGATGTTCCAGGATTCACACGCCTTAAGAGAAGGCCGGTATCCGCAAGCAAATGATTTACATAAACGGTGAGTATTTAATTCGGGATTTGGAGATAGTAACTTAAGTATTAAACCAGAGAATGGTGCTTATTGAATAACATATATATATTGTAGATTAAGATATAATAGAAGACGATCTTTTGTCTCAAAAATTTTATCGGAATGGTGTAGGTGGAATATAGCTACCGTTCCCTATAGTCAATGTTTTATTTGTAATGTAACCAGTTTTTGTTATATAACCAGAATGGCAAACAATTACTTACTCGATTGTAAGTGGTAACCGTCGCCTATTGGTAGGAACAACATCATCATCGGCGTCACAAGATAGTAATATTTTTGCTTTGTATTGTTCAAGATAGCTACATGCATTTGTCGCCATCCATGTTTGTGGGGAGAAATAAATTATAAATTAATATTATTATTTTAATCCTGTAGAGTGCAACACCTACATGATCGATGGCTGAACGCTCGGCAAAGCTTCACCGGGCGCTTGGTGCCGCGTCTGTCGTCCGTCCGTATGCCGGTACAGCAGACCACGGTGCGCAGGGAGACCAGGACCGTGCTGGAGACCAGGGTGCACGACGCCGACCCCAAGTTCCAGCAGTTGCAGGAAGCTATCAAATGGTGTAAAGAAAAATTGGTAAGTGTTATATTGTGGTTTACCAGGGCGACATAACTTCCATTTTTCTTTAAAATTGCAATTTTATTGAAAGTGTGCTCTGTTAAAAACTAAATAACTATTTATTGTGTATGCCTGCAAATAAATAATATAGTCAATAAAATATATCTCGTTATAAAATTAATTCTGTTCTTTCAGAAAAAGCTTCACGAGTCGGACTACGGGTCTGACCTGCCGTCGGTGCAACACGAGCTGGACAGGCACCAGAGAGAACACAAGCAGATAGATCAGTTCCATTCAAAGGTATTAATGAAATAAAAAAACGCATATTATAATAATATTTTTTATGTAATTTGACTAACAAAGAAGCTTGCAGGCAATGACTTTACTGGTTACCATCAGGTGGGTCACCACGAGATGGTAACCGATAACCATCGCCTGTGAATAGCACTACAAACATCACGGTATCATGTGCTATCTATGATAGCACTCATGTGTTGCCATTACAGAGGATTAAATTTCCTCTAACTCTGTAACTTCTCTGCTTAATCTGACCCTAGAACTGAAACATAGCTTACAAAGCAAGCTTTCTGGCGCCTGAAGTGAGTGAGACTAAGGTATACAGGCAGAGGACTTTTTGCAGTATATCTCTGGTACCTTTACCTTACCTTTACCTTTTAGAAGGAGAGGCAGGCTCTCATACTGTAATCTTATACACACAAACGATTTGGTAATTTGATAACCTCTGGGCGTAGAACAGCTTAGACAACTTTTTCTTGTTTTAAACTTTTTTCATTATATGTTAATATGTACTTAATAACTAGATAACTTTGTGTACAATATTAAAAAAAATATATAAACAGTCCACTTGTTTGTAAAGCCGTTATGTTCAGATATGTAAATAAAAATATATATTGTATAATGAACTTCATAGATATCGGCGGTTACATAGCATACATAACACTTTCCGGTCAAATAAGTTTTTGTTCCATCTCGTACTTTTTTATGGAGTATTTACTGCTAATATATGCAGTGCAATAAAAATCGTAGTGTTTACTTCCTTTTATTCTAAGTAAATATGTAATTATGTTTTATTGTTTTTTTATCTTTTTGTCTTTATACAGAGTAGTCGAAATGTACACCTCTGTCTTATGTAAAATGTGTCAATTAAAAAAATATATGTTTTGATGCTACAACCCTATATTTAGTACCTGTACTTTATTAATTTCGTATTAATGCGTTATTTATTTCTGAGTAACCTATAAAAATGGGTAATTTATATGTATTTCCGATAGTGCCACAACAATATTTAAAAATTCCAAAAAGCTAGCAACATCGGTAATTCAAATTTGTTTCTGGGATTAAAAAAACAGACTATAGATACATGAGACATTAATCCTCTGCAATAGTAATGTGTAAGTGGTATGGGAGGTACATGATAACGTGATGCCCGAAGTGCTGTTCATGTATATAGGCAACCATTATCACTACCATCAAGATCAAGATGAGTTCTCAGTTTGTTTTCCTACTATTACTATTGTTACTATTGTTGTAATAATAAAGTTCATTTTCCTTTGTACAGGTGGAACAGTGCGTGCATAGCCGCTCAAATTTCAGCGGCGAGGAGTTGAACCTCTACAACCAGCATTTGAGTCAGCTGCAGAAACTTTATGCTGAATTATTGTCTACCAGCACTAAACGGTATGTTTGATATGACTGTCTTCCTAAAAACCATTATTTTTTGTTGATTTAAAATCGAATCACAGGATTTTTTTTTAAATTTAAGTCTTTGAAAAAATTTAAGAGAACTTAAAGCAGTTGCTTTAAAATTAAATAGATTTATAAAATAGTATAAATCCAATACGCCGATTTAAGTACTTACGACTCTTTAAAATTGCTACAAGTAGCAATTAAATCTCAAATTATTTACTTCCTCTGCAGCATTTCAGACCTAGATGCATTACAAGACTTCCTGCAGTCTGCAACCGCTGAATTGAACTGGCTGAATGAGAAGGAACAGGTGGAGTTGTCCAGAGATTGGGCGGATCCACACATCAACCTGCCCGCGGTGCAGCATTATTATGAGGTAAGTCGATAGAGCCACAGGTATATACTATAAGTAAACTGTCAACTATTTCACTAGTTATTTAAATTATTAACCGGGTCTTAACACGAATAATTTAATGGCAAATAAAGGTATTTAAACGAAACGTCGAGTGAGGTAAATATACCTTTATTTGCCATTAAATTATTCGTGTTAAGACCCGGTTAATAATTTGAATAATGTATATCAAACACGAAAGTTGAATGTTCCATTTAATCCCATCAACAATTGTGGCATTAGAAAAATTGTCAACATTTCAAAATTCTTCTGTAAAGTTTCAAGAAGGTGTGAATTGTGTATCCTCACCTTTATATATACTTCCGTATACACAATAGATATAGAAATTATGCACTCCATAATTCAATCATCATGCTTTTTGTTAATAATATTATCGGCTTTTTTCATAAATGTGATAGTTTATCTTAATATAAATATTACATTACAATTAACATTCGATTTTTTTCATTTTTTATAAAGAATATTACTTTGTCCTAAATGTTAATTTAAAATCTTGAATTAAAATCCAAGATTTTAATAGAAGATAGAATCTTTATTATTGTAACAGTTTCCATTAAAAGATGCATTTCAAAAAGTACTTCTGTATATTTTGATATGGAACAAAATTTTAGTTTTTTTAAATACTACCGTAATGATTTTAAATAAATGTTTTATTATAATATAATAGTTATATAGAAATATCTTTCAGGATTAAAGTATTCATTTAGTAGGTTAAAATATATGATAAATTGTTTTTCTATCACATGTATGAAATAGGTCTATGTTTTCTAAAACCTCACAAGTCTACTAAAACAAATGACCTAAACAAGTTTAGCCAACCATTGCAAAACAATCTGAATTATTGGCTAAAACATAACTCTTTTTGTTATATTTTTTCGCTGTGTATATGGCCTTAGATTTTATATAATTGTTTCATATTTTCGTTTTTTTCCGTGCAAGCATTCATTTGGGGACGGCAAAGAGGTTTGTTGTTTTACACTCTATGTTTTATTTCGATACTTTTCTTTGCCTTTTGTTTGTTGTTGGGCTTCGTCAACTCTTAATGTTCTACACAAAAATAGATCTTAACATGTCAATTCATAATATATAAATTTCAACAGCAACTGATGTCGTCGCTTGAAAAACGCGAACTGCAATTCAGCAACGTAATCGATAGAGGGGAAGCGTTGATCGCACAACATCACCCCGCTACTAAGACAATTGAATCCCACCTGCAGGTAAAGTGAACTTTATTGTCTATAAAATTGAGTTGTTACTACTAATTGAAGTTAATAATATAAATTTGATCTTATCTTGTTAATATTATGAACACGAAAGTTTGTGAGTGAGTATAAATGGATGTTTGTTACTCTTTCACGCAAAAATTACTGAACAGATTTAGATGAAACTTTACATAGCTTATACATTAGAATAACATGTAGACTATAAATTTCAAGTGGGTGAAACCGCGGGCACAGCTAGTATTTCTATAAAAAGAACTGGATTTATCTGAGAGACAGTTTGTATAAACTTGTCTGGGTGGTTATCTCAATCTCATCTAATTCTGACATCAAGCAAGTTTGCTTTGTAAGATGTGTTTTCATTGAAAGGACAGGAAAATTACGGGATAAGGGGCATCACATCTTAGTCCTCAAGAATGGCAACGAATGATGGGTATTACGGCCATCACAGTCATGTTGACGTTTTATCCGGGTTGCTATTCAAATGTATAGGCGGTGGTTGCTCTATCTTACCGGGTTGTCAGTTCATTTGCTATTCCAGTTATTTTAATACCGTTTCATCACCAGGTGATGCAGTCGCAATGGGCTTGGGTGCTACAACTTACACTCTGCTTAGAGACCCATCTGAAACATACGACGCAGTATCACAACTTCTTCGAAGAGGTCAAGGAGGCAGAGAAATGGATACAGAAGTAAGTTGTTGCTCTTTATTTAATTTATACTAATATTATAAAGCTGAAAAATTATTTTTGTGTTGGATAGTCCATTTGTCGAGGAAGGCTTTCAGCTATATAAGATTACGCTACGCCCAATAGTAGTGGAACTGGAATGAAAAATATTGCAAAGGTTGGGGAAATGAAACGCAGACGAAGTTGCGCGAACCAGCTAGTTATATATGCCTAACTAAAAATAAATTAAACATAATATAGACAGGATATTTAACTTTACGGGATCATTGTATTGTATATCAGATCTCGTAAATCATATCAGGATATCACAATAAATATTCTGTTAATATGTAATATGTAAACAGACATATTTTTTTAAAACAGTATTTATTAAAAACAAGTAATGAGAGGATAGTACAGAGATACATGAATTAACCTTAATTAATCAATCTACAGACGCGAAGAAGCTCTCAACAGTACATTCTCCCAATCGGAGTTCACGCTTGACCAAGGCGAGCGACTTCTCAAAGGGATGCAGGATCTGCGTGAAGAGCTCAATGCTCACGGCATAGTGGTGACGCGGCTGGTCGAAGAGGCGCAGGAGATCAGACCAGTGAAACAAAGGAAAGCGCCGATTACAAGACCGCTGAGGGCAGAAACCGTCTGTGCTTATAAACATGCGAATGTAAGTAATTTCATTCGTTGTCTATGTCTATGTATGTCTTTAGAAATATTATTTAATGGTTATTATTTTAAACACGGAGATTCGTATTAAATTTGATTTTGAAAAAGAAATTTAATGCATTATTTCGGACCGATATACCGTATTCTTATGGTGAACTACTGCGTGAGTTACAGAATATTGTGCATAAATAAACTAAAATTTTTAACTTATTTTGAATTTTATACTTTTTAATAGTTATGTAACAATATATTTTGGCAGGGTGCCAATAAAGTATGATAGGATGAGTCTAGAATCAGTGTGTTAGCTCACTGTAATTAATCCACCAGGAATTAAGCGCGATGATTAGAAAATATTGCTAACGCAACCTGTCCTTCTTTTAAACTTTGTTAGAAAATAGTAATTTCTAGGAAAAAAGTCAAGGTAACTGTTTAAGAAGTTTCACTGATCTCAAGACATTACTGACGTCTGATATGGCGGTTCGTGTGACAGGTGGCCATCGAGAAGGGCGCGTCGGTGACTGTGATAGACAACTCCGGACGCAGCCGGTGGTCGGTCCGCGCTGGCGGTGCCGGCACTGAGCTGCAGCTGCCCGGCGCCGTGCTGGCGCTGCCGCCGCCCTGCCAGCTGGCGCACGACGCCGCCGCCGGCCTGCGCGCCGCCTACGACCGGGTACGTACTGCCGCCGCCTACGACCGGGTACGTACTGCCGCCGCCCTGCCAGCTGGTAGACACGTATTTTGTAAGCTGTGTTCCGGTTTCCGGAAGGCAGGAGAGATTGATAAAACATTAGCAGTACCAGAGCATAACATAAAGACATAATTCTGTTTATGTAAGTATATAAGCGAATCTTGGCAGCAAGCATCGGATGGATAGTTTATCATTACAGGTACATAGTAAAACTCATTAGTAATTAAATAAGTCGAAAAGTGACAAATGTTAGAATTTGTTGCTAAATGTTTAATCGGGATTCTATGTTAGTTCCTGTTCTTGGATATTGATTATGACTTCTATAGTGTTTTTATTGACAATTGTCACTTTAAGAGTGTTAATTTATTGACATTTATCACTATAAAAGTGTAAATTTATTAAGAAAATTACCTTTTATTAGAGTCACGCGTTGTTATACTCACTCTCCAAACACAGGCAATGGCAATTGCTTAATACATACATTTCGTAAACAAAATAGTATATACTTTCACGACTTAATAGTCGTAGTCCCAGTCCTAGATGGGGTATTTACTGATATATGTCAGATCAAAACGTGATGAACGCAACACTTTTCGCTCGGTATATCTGAATCTAACAGGGCAGTAACAAACTTACAATGTCTCTAGCATTATTTTCCTTTGGTATCATTATTACCTATCTCATCACCGGAGAGTTTATGACAAAACATTGTAATAATTTAAATGAGTTTGTAGTAACTTTAATTTATTGGTTACTAAAGGAGTTAATTAGAGTACATTTAACGAAATGCAAATAATTAGTATGCATTGGTATTCTCATGTAGTAAATACAAAAGTATGCCTGTCTCTGTCTGTTATGATTCTATAACAAATGTCAGTTAGTTATCAGCTGCTTTCCTTATCCTATTTATTCGAGGTCGGCGTAATATGTTTTTCTCTTCCATTTATTCATGCTCGCAGTTATTTACTCACTTTCGTTTACTTACTCACTTTCTTCCATATCATCTTTCACACAGTCCATCCATTTCTTTTTCGGTCTTCCTCTGCCCTTGTAACCATCCACATTCATATGTAACACCTTCCTTACGATATGATCTTCATTCCCACGCATTACTTGCCCATATCATGACTAACGATTACTCTTTAACCTCTCCGACACCGGCGCCTCTTTCATAATGTATATGTATTTCATAATAACAAATGTCAGTTAGTGTGATATAAATATTAGCATTCCTTCTTTTATACTATTAGATAAAGACCTCTGACAATAGTCAGTACAAATACAGGTCAAATATAATTGTATTATACTTATATTTATGTATATTTCAAACCCACGATAATGTTGTATGCGTAACATTCAATCACTATTTACTGACCTCGCTCGATATTTACATTATAATATGACATTAATAATCAATGTTAACGATGCATTTGTTAGAACCGATGTATTCGTTCTTCTACATTATATATATGGTTTTATTTTGCTGGTTGTTTCAGGTGATACAATTATGGCAACGGAAGCAACTCAGGATGAGACAAAACATGATATTTGCCACCATCAAGGTGGTGAAAGGATGGGACTTCCCGCAGGTTAGTGAATTTAATCTATTTTGTAATTTACTAACGACAAGACTTCCACAATTAGAAGTATTGTATAGACCTCTAATTGTGAATGGAATATATTTTACTAATTACAAAGAGGTGCGAATATATCTGAGAATATATTTTTTAAAACAGCCCATTGTACTCTTTGATGATTAAGGATTATCGTAAGGATGTCTATTTTTGTATAATACTTTTAGAGTTTAGCTTTCAAATCAAATCTTTCATCTATAACACGAATTTAGACCATCTGTGTATATTCACATGCATCAGCTATAAATACAGACTGACACAAAGTGTAACAACCAGTTTTGAGCTTAGCACATTTTGGTTCAAGTTATGGTAGTAAAGCACTAGACCACTAGGCTCTTAACATTTCTTGTGTTAATCTCAAAATCTGCCATCAGTTCGTGGCCATGGGAGCAGAACAGCGCCAGGCTATACGTCGGGCGCTGAATGAAGATGCAGAGAAACTGCTCGCTGAAGGGGACCCGGCGGACCCGCAACTGCGGCGCCTGCGCAGAGAGATCGATGACGTCAACCGCCTGTTTGATGAGTTCGAACGACGTGCAAGAGCTGAAGGTAAGATATACAGTTTATATTTTCATTACAGCTTTTAATGGTACTTAAAACGTTCACTGTACAGTCTACAAAAAGGTTGTCTGAGTGGGTACCTCTGTCACATCGATTCAACAGCTCACTAGCTTGCTGTATTAACTATGTTTTGTTTGAAGAGTGTGATTATAACTGAATTAAGGCATAACATGCTCCTCCATCCTCAGGAATGGCAATGATTGGTGTGGTGTGATGGTATTACTGGCATTCATTGATAACATGATGTCCGTAGTAGCAACTTATCGTCAGGCGGACCATCTTCATGTTTATGGTTTTCGCTATAATTTACAGAATTTCTTCCAAAGTATTTAGGTGTTGCGTTACATGCATATAGTTGTATGACATCTATCACATATATTAATCACTCGAAGATAAAGTCGAGGTCACTTATATAGAAATAAAAACATTGTCCTTCTTTCATTAGTGTTCAAGTATAAAAACTATAATCTTCGAATACGCGCCAAATAACAGTTGACTTTGATATTACTGAATACTTTTCGATTGGATTAATTGAATGATTGCAGTTCTAACATTGTGGATGTAGGTCGCATATGGTGACAATAGAAATAATTGTACTAGACCTCTCTCTGTACCGGACGACCTGTGAGATCATACCAAATTGCTAGTAATCGTTATTTGTGTAGTAAATGTTTTGCTATGCGTATTTATATATGTGTATTTATATCATTATAATAATACGGGATCCAAAAGTGACTGAACTGAACTGAACACTGGGCGACTACTAATCTATGCATCAACAATTTATTTATTTTCTAAAAAGAGAGAACAAATTTTGTTATAATGAAACTAAACTGATTAAAGAAATTCCTTCACTGTTTCAAAGGCAGTTACGTTATTCAGAGTAACATAGGCTATTGATTATGTTAGTAGTTAGTACATATGAAACTCACAAATGTGTGAGCAACTAAGCCTAAGCTGCGATTGACCTAGTACTGGTCGTTAAATGCAAAATAAAATGCTATTTCACGTATACAACAGGGAAACTGTGTAACACCTTTCTGAATACAGTTACAAGTGACCTTAACATTGATGACTTATCATTACCATTTCCATATTGACATAAGGACCTACTTTGCATAAATATTATGTCACCCGAATATATGACGCGTGCAGTTAAAAATACTCGTACCTACACGTGTTGGTTGATAAAGCATTTGTCACACAGGCAAAAATGTTTGTTCCATTGGAAAATGTATGCAAATATTCATGAATTTTTTTAGTATTGTTTCGGGAATTTCAATGTAAGCATATAAAAAAGTATTGTTTTTGTTTATTCAAACGTGGAATTGAAATTTGTGAATTCGATACATTAGTACCGGAGTTTACTTTCAACAAATTTCGCGCTCTCTGTCTCTGTCTTTCTCACTCTTAGTTTCTCTCTCTCTCTTTCCTACTCTTCATAATATTAGTATAGATATTACAATTATAATTTCTGTTTTAAATCTGTATATAACATTTTTATTAAATTTTAGCTACATGCGTATATAATTTTATGATAATGTTAAAATAGCTACCATAATTGTAATTACGGACATTTATAGGAAATATCGGATATGTCCTGGCCGCCATTATAGAGACAAGTACTTTATCATTTAATCAAGCTGTAGTTCGGTGATGTGCTATCAGAAATGGCCAGTGGCTGTGTGATAGCGTAATTTATTGTGTGGGTGTATGTACGTTGCACCTTGAATGTACTCCATACTACGATTTTAAATGTTGATACTTTTGTCTATTCTTTATAGCACTTTGAAATACAGTAATAAAGTTCATTATAGACAAAGTGAGCAATTTCAATACTAGTTAAAACTGGATTTTATTTGTAATTTCGTTTGTATAATGGAATAATAACGATTGTCCAAGATTTATTTCTTTAGTAAAAATAATGGTGCAGACGACAAAAAGCTTACATGCTATTCTATGCTAAAATTGCTAAATACTATATGTATTCTCATTTTCATAACGATTGCTTGGACGCTGTTAAAGCGCAAGAGTTAACCAAGATACTCTAAATTCGTTTCTTAATATATCAATAATACTTTGGAATTAATATCAGATGATAACAGTTGTTGTTGTTGTTTTTTATGTATTTGCTAATTATTATAGAGTATAACTTTTGTTTCGTCAAAAATTAATAAACTTAATAAACTCTCATTTATTACAATTCCGATCTATTGATGATTTATTAATGAAATATAGATAGGTTAAGTTTTGCGTTCTCCGATACGAGCCTCTGATTATATAGTATTTTTAAAGTTTACAAACAGTAAAGTATCAAAACCTATTTCTCAGCGTATGTATCAACGTCTTGCCGGCAAAGGACAAGTATAGTATTTGTCTCAGTGTATCGACATCCTACGGGATCACTGTCAGTTGCAATTAGCAAGCGTACTACGATACTCTGATTACTCTACTCTACCTTGTTAATGTTACGCGCGCGAAAATATTGCAAAGTTCTGTTTTTAAATATGTTTTTTTCATAAAATAATGTTTTAAAAAGTTTTTATTCTCTTTACTTTAACGTACTTTTTTGTTTATGTTTTTGTTTTATTTTTTAATATTTGTTATACTTAATTTATTATTTCATTCCGTATTATTTATTTATAAACAATATAATAAATTTTATAGTAATACTTTTTGTATTAAATAACTATTATTATGTCGAATTTTATATCGTTAAGGTATTCGAGAATGATCACTGCTTATAACATTGTATAAACTGTGAATTAATATTATTATGATGAAAATAAATGAACAAAAGTGGACCTTGTTGTTGTTGCAATAAAGTCGCATTGACTCAAACGAAAATGAAGAAAATAAAAAGAATTTTCTCCAAGGGAAAAGGAGGTAAATTTACACACTAAAAAAATATTTGTACTTGTCAGTGAAGTATTAATAATACTAATTATACTTTTATTATACAGCAATTGTTGTAAATGTATGATTGGTCGTTGCGTTCACATATTTTAGCCGCCAAGCAAGTTGCTGTATTTCGGTTGTATTATTAGGCAGTAAAATTACAGGTTAAGAGGCAAGACATCTTAGCCCATATGGAATAGCAATTCATGACTGATGTCCAAAATACATGTATATAGGCGACGGTTACCCTTTTCCATATACATAAACACATAAATGATTTATCTATATATCTACACATTCATATATAAAAAAAGAACTTTTGGCTGTTATCTTAGTAGGTATAATTCTTATGACTAATTCCGTGAATCCTATTGACCAAAATATTTAATATATATAGTCCACATTTATCTAGAATAAAAAAGAAATGTATCTTTATAGTAAAAAAAAAACAAAAACAAAATAAAATAGGAACAGTGATTCCGAAGATTGCACTGCATATATCTACACTACACTAATTTGCAAAATATTGTTATTTTTCATAATTTTATAAGTATTAAATATTAGACTTCATAATTAAGCTGTTATGCCCTGTGATTTAACCCTGCAATTTTACTGCCATATCTTAACCTTCAACCGAAACGCATCTACTAAGCAAGTTGCTTGCCGGCTGGAATATGTGAAACGCAGGGATAACTTTATACAAAGTGTACCTCAGTAAATACTTGTAATAATATGAAATGGTGATATAGAGTAGGTAATAAGTTCCTTGACGGGTCAGTAGGCGACCTCCAATTACTAACACGGAACAGCGACAGGGTCACCACCCAAATATCGCCCTTGTAATTGAACAATAACATACTGACATCACCGCGGGATGAATTGACTACTAGAATGGTCTTTGCTTACGATAGATTTCAAGTGGTCACTTATGGGATAGGCAGATAGTATTGTAACATTGACAAATTATTATAGAAATACTAGCTGACTCGGCAAATTTTGTTTTTCGATAAAAATTATTTCAGGATAAAACCACCCTTAACTTCTAGGGGTATAAAATATATTTGGTAGATCTGAGGATATGTGTAACAAAAGTTATATAAAAATCGATGAAGTCGGTTCAGAATTTGTGTCAGTTGGAGAACAAACACTGTGAACGATGTTTTACACATTACTAACTGACCCGGGAAATGTTATTTTGCCATATAAATTAAAGTACTAATATAGCTATGAAAAATAAGGGTTGGCGGTAGAAGAGTAAAAATTTGAAGTTGTCTTTTTCAATGTTAAATCATAATAAAAAATTGATAAAAAAATAAATATGTACTGACCCATGTCATTGAGAGACATGAAAAATTCAGACCATCCCATATCGGGGCACAAAATTTCGCTTCGAAGGAGTTTGGTGACAAATACCGGGACATGAGAATTTTATGTTTTAGATTAGATATACAAAACTTATATTAATTACTAGCTGTACCCGCGAGTTCCGCGTCCTCGTAGAATTTAACTTTATTTATCTAAAATTAATTATTTTTTCTAAAATAAAACTAACCCAAGTTACTCCTTATTACATCAGCTACCTGCCAAAAAAAGTCCCGTCAAAATCGGTCCACCCATTTCAGAGATCCACCCCGAAACAAACAGACTTTATTATTGTTGTGTGTTGTGTATTATGTTATTTTGGTGTATGTACCGTATTTATATTCATATGCATGTAGTAAAAAATTGATATTTCAATATTACAAACAGACACTCCAAATTTCATTTATGTGTATAGATGTATAGATATATAAAACTAACATTATGATCACCTGGGCGAAACCGGGGCGGATTACTAGTAAATAATAATCACAACATTGTAAAACTTGTGAGCTATAAAGTCTGCGCTTCTACCGAATTGTCGTATCAGAACAAACCGAACAATTTATTTCGTCAATCGTAAATTAGTGTCGGGCCGTACATTAATTAAATACAATTTTACAGCTGTTTTTCTGATGTCATATTTTTCTATTAAATTTGATTGACCTTGCCGTTTGATAAGTCAGATTGACATTAACTCTGCAATTTCCAATGAAGTCCGCGGTCAAGAGTGGGTGGCGATTACGGTAGTTTAATAATATCAGTAGCTCGAATCTGAAGCTATGTGAATTCTTTCCTGTATTATACTTAAATTGAGGTAAGTCACACACACCTCAATTGAAGTTGGCGACAGTTATAATATTTAAGTTCATAATTACTATAACTATAAATGTAGAACAGAAGTTCTCGAATAGTTTTTGTTTCGGGGAACACGTTTTCCAGTTTTTGTTGTACCTGTTTCCTTTCCATTGTAATCTGAGACTTTGCTCGCGTATAAAACATATATTGTGAGTTACCTCGCATCTAGTGATTAGATTTAACATTTCTTTAAATTCATTCTGCTATTTAAGCAAGTTTTCAGAAATAGTTATCTAAATATTTTAAGAATCGAATTTACAAGTCTTTACAAACTTTGTCATGATATAATATAACAGAATGGCAGTATAGTTGTCACGTTAATTTATCCCCTTAGAGATGGAATTTATCAAAATCCTTTTTAGGAGATGCCTACGTCATAGTAGCTTTATGCATGTAAAGTCTCAGCCCGATCGGTTTAAAATTGAAGTTTCATATAAACTTTCATACCCTATTTTATCCCTTTGGGGGTAGAATTAATCAAAATCGTTTCTTAGCGGATGCCTACGTCATAACATCTACCAGCATGCCAAATTTCAGCTCGATCCGTCCAGTGGTTTGGGCTGTGCGTTGATAGATCACTATGTCAGTCACCTTTATTTTTTTACCTTTATATTCATAGGTCATTATAACAACAAAGGTTATTTTGTTATTGACATGCTGTTATTACCTACTCTGTGACAGGAATGGTTTACAGTCCTAGTTTTTCAGTTACCGACTGGACTAGTCTACCAGTTATGTTCAGCTTGAACTACTGTGTATCTCAGTATATTTACTTAATTTTTTTAAATGTCACTGAAGATATACCTATTATTAAGAGTGAGAACTGTGGAAAGGACTTCAGTGATTTGGAATTTAGCAGGTGCTTTGTTATTCATGTTCTGTTTTGATATAGACCAATTATTACTGAGCGTCTCATTAATACCTATTGAGATATTTTAAACAACTATTGAATATTTTTAGATTTTAACTGTTATATTGTTGTAAGTAACGACTGACCTTTGTTTCGAATGAGTTTGTAGTGCATGTGCAAACTATATTCAAGTAATATACATATGAATCTTGCTTTTAGAAATTCAGTAAATAATAGTGATAACCATATAAAAAACTGTTACGTGTTGTACAAGAAGTAAACAGAAAAAGTCACTTAGATCAACTAAGTGGCTTTTACTTACTACTACTACACTACTTATGTGTTCATACACCTAGACCTATTTAAGCAAGACAGCTTACTTATCTGGAATGACGACGCATATGATCACGTGATGTCCGGAGTGCTGTTCTTGTAGCAACTACTACAATTATTCTCCTGCACCACCTAATGGTTGTCTTATAGATAATTAAGTAGTAACGTATTATTTATATTCGCCATATGTACCTACGTTTAAATTAGGTGTTTTAAAGTTATATAAATAAGTAAAATAAATTAATGTGTAAGCATTAGTTGCCACTTACCATCAGTGCTCCGTAAATTTGTTTTCTATTCTCTTTTATAAATAATGAGATAAGAGACTTTATTCACATCATCTCGCAATCTTTGATTGCTTTAATTATACATATTTTCTTTGTGTCCGCAGAGGAATCTAAGAATGCAGCGCGCATCTTCACCGAACAATCAAGCAATCTACTTGAGAGACTGGATGTCCTTGAAAGACAGCTACATGAGAGGATCGCCAGTAATATACCACGAGATTTGGACTCGCTGGAACACCTCGTGCTGCAGCATAAGGATTGGGAAGGGAACCTGCACGCGCTGTCCAGTGACGTAGAAGAAGTACAGGCCACATTCAGAGGTAAATAGCAAATTCAAGTACAAATAACAGCTAGTACGATTGATTTCGACAAATTATTTATCAATTCAATTTTTTTATTGGTCTTATTACAATTTTTTTCCGTGTGTTAACCAGTTTTAATATTTTTTTTAAAAAATGGCGTAAATTCGATTAACGTCTGACCTATTTTTTTTAGTTGAATGTACATTTTAGTAATCTGAATACTATTAATTATATTTTTAAATATTATGGCAAATATTCTTTTTATCCCGTTTATAAATGAAAATAAATAATTCTGTTCATACTGAACTCGTACTGAACTACATACAATGAGCACTCTTGTTTAAGGATCATATGAGAATTCCTATAGAACCTACCTTGAGGATAAATATATAAAAAAAAATATTAGACAATTGGTTATACATATGAATATCAATAGTTTTAACATACGGGATCGAACTCGATACCATCGAATGTATTAAATAGCTAACATAATACCACTAATCACGTTATTGTAAATATAAATATTGTTATTTTATATAATTGTATTTGTAAAAAAAATCTTCTTTCACAAGGCATCGCTCTAAAGACCCCGGCCATGAAGAAAAATCTGGACAAAGTCATGGGCAAATGGAATGACATGCAGTCGAAGAGCCAATTGTTTGTCGAAAGGTAATTTATGTACTTTTATGTTATACAGGAAAAGTAATTAAAAAAATAAAGATATTTGTGAATACAATTCACGATTTTTGTAGACTAATTTTGGTTATTTTTATTAACCCTGGCAGAGCTCTGCCAGGGTTGAGGATAAGAGACAGGCGTGACATATCTTAGACCTCCAGAATAGCTTGCGTTCTTGCGTTACCATTCTGAATTATTAATCTGTCAGGGTGTGACATAATAACGTGATGTTTGTATTACTGTTCATGTATATAGGCGACTGTTAAGACACATGTCACCAAGTGACGGCCTACTTGGTGGTATGTGGTAAACAGTCGCATATATACATGATCAGTGGCTTCTTTGCTTATCAGCTTGTATGCCAAATACATAAACAAAAAACATGTAATCATGGCAGTTAGCTTCAAGGCAAATCCTCCAGGAATTAACCAAAAATATATAAAACAATATTTTCCAGGCTAAAATTCGTGGAGATTGTGGTGAGCAGTATGGAAGAGAATCATCAAACTATATCAGAGTTTGAGATCAAGTTGGCACAGTTCAGTGACCTGCCCAACGATGTTGAACTACTTAAAGACGTAAGTACAACTGCTTCAACAATAAATAAAAATATAGTACATCTACAACTGTCCATTTAGCTTATAGAAACGGAAATAAAAACCATAATGATTCTTATCTAGTTGTAATTAGTACAAAATTCAATATAATCTGTAACAGTGTAACAGTTTGTTGTAATGCATAAATTTCGGAAAAAAATCATTTGATGGTCACTGTTATTAGATCTACAAAATGTTCAAGTAACACAACAAAAACAGTAAAGCCCTAATTTTATTAAATGCGATGGTTAATACTGTCTTTCAAGCATACATTTGCACTAAAAATACTACACCATACAGATTGCTTGTCAAATCTAGTAATAAAACTCAGTTACATATACATTTTTTTTATTTAATGTGCTTTTGGAGCAAAATTTGATTAATATATATACGGGAAACTTCGCAAGTATTCTTCCGGTATAAACAATGACCAATTTTTAACAAATAGAACAATTACCAAGGTAGAGTTGTAGGTCTTCTTCTGTGTGAGTAATTCTTTCTCTTCTATAACGCAGTGGAATTACAGGGTAAGAGACATAACATCTTATTGACATAATATATGAGTTGTATCATGATAACATTATGTCCAGGATACGGTGCGTATATGTAGGCAACGGTTACCACTTACCATCGGATGAAGCGTCAGCTTATTTACCATTTAAAAATACAGATAAACATGTTATGACATGTCAACAGATACACGAAGACCTGCTCCGTATGCAAGTAGCAGTCTCCAAACAGCAGATACAAATCGACCAGATGAATGATGACGCTGAAAACTGTAGGCGTCTCGTAGAAAGTTCTAGAGCGGCGTTACCACACTCCTCGCTCCCGAGATCTGGCAAACACATAGACCTGGAACGTCTGGACAAGGAGATCTCACACCTGAATAATAGATGGAACAGCGTTTGCAATCAACTCGCTGAGAGGTAACATCTTATGTCTAAAGTAACATTATTATAGTAATTTTAGTTTAATATAACGTTTGTTACATAAAAATATTTTGTTTTAGTTTTCAAGTTTAAGTCTATTCTTTTAAAAAAACGCAATTTCATAAAATTTCTGGGCGGAGCTCAGTCACATTATCACATAAAAAGTCCAAGCGGTGTAGCATTGTGATTGTCTACTTGTGTACTTATTAATTTATTGTATGCGACTATAGTTCAATTGGCGCCGCCCTCATTTGAATTGCGCCTATTGGAATATATATTCCTTTCGTTTACTATAATTTTCATATTGAATCTAATAATGCATTCATCTCTTATATATTATATTTGTATTACGTTTAGACTGAGAAGTTGTGAAGCAGCATACCAACTACTGCGCAACTACAACGCTGGCCTGGAGAAGGAAGCTGAATGGATTGACGACAGCTTTGCCAAGCTCAAGAATCAACCACCAATCGAAATTCGACCTAAGGAGCAGTTCGAACCAACTAGGGTGAGTTACTTAACCCAACAAAAAAATGTAGAATCAAAGTTACAGTCTTTGCCTTATATTTTTTAATATGTTGATGGCTTGTTTTTTTATAGCTCTGAACTTTGTGTATTTATGAGTTGGGCTCTTATTTCGTTCCTATTAGGAACAATTTGAATATCGAATTTTATGGAATTCCTAATTTAAATATTACCTATCCTAACAGTAGGTGGAATATTGTAAAAAGTATTTTAGCAGAGATTGAATGTCCATGGTCTTCCAGTATTGTCTCTAACAAAGTTGTCGTTTTGCATTGGTATAGTATTGCAGTTGTAGTCAGTATTCACTTATATTTGCATGTTACGTTTCATAATAAAATTATTTTAATTATTATTTCTAAAACGGTTTAGGAGATACGTATACGGTTTTATTGCATGTATAAATTAAGATGTTTAATAAAACTGATGATACTACAGTTATTTATCTTATCAGATTTATAAATTGCATGAAATAATCTAATGATAAATGATAATGATAAATTCTAACCCAAATTCTAAAAACAATTATAAGAACATTTTATTATATGTCTCATACACATGCATGAATTAAGTCTTATCACTTTTTTAAAAAGATATAAACCTATATGTTAAATGGACAAATAGCATGTCTTTATAAACCGTAACAATATTGTTAATAGAGTTCATTTTTATTTGCACAAACTAATTCTAAAATTGTGGGTGTCTTGTGGTTAATTTACAGAATCTACTCACAAGCGTGGTTGAGAGGACTCCAAAGATTGAAAAAGTTAACGTGGACGGTGGAAGGTTCATAAGAGAGGCGAAGGTAATTATCAGTACACTAATAAACACATTAGGAATTTGTTTATTCTGTGGCATTTTGAGGAATACACATTCGTTTGAGGATATTATCTTAATGTTTGTTACGGCAAAGTTTAATTTTAAATGTCAATATTTTTTTTCATTCATAATCATGTTTTTTAATTTAAAATTGAACTTTAAGGTTAACGATATTAGGATAATTTAACAATATTAGTATTTATACGTAATCCTATTTTATAATTAGAAACATTGTTTCTCACAATGCCATTATTAAAGTTAGGTGATGTGTTATGAAAGTTTCTGAAAGGGTCTCGTTTAGTCCAGCGTTTCGTTATGTCCCATCACCTCGACTTCGCTTGGTCGTTTGTTTCTATCTTCGGGTACTTCTTGGTCCCTTATGATTTGCAGCGGTTCTTTATTCGTCTGTAGCATGTTTTCTCTTGCATGAATACTGCTTTCGCGAGCACGTATTAAAAAAATAACGCTTCTGCGTTTTATTATAACAAAAGCATAAGTCATAATCTATACTAAAATAAAAAAATAAAATATTTTACTAACATAATAAATATTTGAATGTGGGATGTTTGTGTGATTGAATAGTTTTCATAAGAAAAGCAAGATATTACTGCTCTATATATTGTGACTAAATAAGAAATAGATTTGCAAATTTTGTTGTTAGGGAGAGTTGACAATAAGTGGTTGACTACTCCGATTTAGACTCCAAAGGTCGTGAGTTCAAATCTGATTTACATGAAAAAAACTTTGTTTGTTATTTGTATGTATTGAAACACGGATAACAAACCAATTTTTTTCCGAGAGACGGCTATAGACCCTGCGGAATTGTTGAATTTAAATATACCCAGGAAATGTGGTGAGTGATATCAAGTGTTGAGTTTAGCATAACGATAATAATGCTTCTGACTACCCGATTTGATATAACAGTCGTGAAGTTATATTTTTCTTGTAGTATTTGCAAACCTACAGTCCATTTTGCCACATTACCAATTTGAAATTCAAATTAATTTCTTATGTGTAACCAGTGACTTATATAGACGCATACTGTATTCTAAATATGCTAAGTTCATTGTTCCGCCATATAGCTTTGCATGATTTGTTTTGGCGTACAAGTTTGGTTGGCGCCATTAATAATAATAAAAAAAATCATTAGGAACACCTTCGTGCTGTCATTTTTAGAAATTATTTTTAAGTAGGTATTTATTTGTATACGTCGACTTTATAATGTGTTTACATTAAACTATTCTTATATTGAGAATAGTTTTTTTAACACACTTGTCTGGAACTAGAAGTAGAATTAAAAAAAAAATCATAATTCAGAGTAATATATGTTATACTACGACCACTAAGGTCAGAGCAAAAAGATTAAAATTAAACGTAAAGCTAAAAGTTAGTAATTTTGCGGGCGGGTGAGTTGATTCAATGAAGTGGGTTGAGGGTGGGGGGGGGATGAAATGCCCACTTTTTATTTTTATTTAAAAGGTATGTGAAACTCAGGACATAGGCAGTTTATTATATTGGTGAAATATAAATATTACGTTTGCTTCGGGAGCGTTTAAAATGCACGAGAATTGGGATTTTTTCGGACTTTATCAAAAAGCACACGCACTTCGTGGCACGCTTATATAAATCTTTTATAAATATAGGCATATATACATTCTTCCAGCATGATTCGCTCTGGGATATCATAAAACTGGACTTTATTTTGTTTGCCAGTACGAAGAATTATTAGAATGGCAGTATGATGAATGCCTTTGCCACGGTATGAATGTTTAGTTTTTACATAAAGAAATAAAATGTGTGCAAGGAATTTGATTGGCTGAAATGAATCTAATTTGATTAATCTACTTATAGCAAGCAAACTGTTTTTTTATATTTAATAAATCGATACATTTTTGTAACTTTTGTAAACCTATGGCCATTTTGGTTATGGCCATTCTTAGATCAAACATAATTTCTAACAATAAATCTTAAAAAAAAAACAGTTTGTAAAGGCACTAACATTTAAAACGTAACCCGCTTCGAACCTAACTCGAAATAGATACACTCCTCGAGATGCCAGCGGTACGCCGAATGGCTTTGCGACGAGGTACATCCTTCATTGGAGATGAAGCAACTGCGGCGGCAAGCTGATGTGGAGATGGCTGAAAGACTGCGAAGTAGGGGCCTAAGTCCGGACCCTGAGAAACTGCCGACGGGAGCTGAGGCCGTCGCGAAGGAATTGGATGATATAAACGCTAAACACCAGAGACTACTTGATTTGCTGTATGAAAGATTGAGGAGAATCGCTGCCGCCAATCCAGGAGACATTGTTACGTTGGTAAGTGTTTTTTTTTACTAAAAGCATTGATCAACTATACTACTAGATATCCTGTTACATTGTGATAAAATAATCAAGCTAATGACAGATGGATTCTTTGATTTGATTTCTCCTTGTAAAGAAACTTGTACTTTCTTATTTGCGAAGGAGGTTTAAGTTAGAACATTCCGTTAACATTATGATTTTTATAACGATTTTATTTTATTTTTGAATAATCACTATGTGTGAATTGTGTTTTAATTTGTGATAAGTTATCTAGTTGGTATGGTTGATCGAAAACGCAAGGGGCACTATTGGTTGTCTTATAAACAATTAAAATTCTATAATTAATTCAATGTATAATTTTAAACAAAAGACTAAGAAAAAAATTGTTTAAATGACATTGTAATTATTACATTTTTACAACTAGTAGTGCCTCTTTTTATTTCTAATTTTGGTTTAGGTCAATAGAATATGCTGATAATATTAATGAGAATTTTATTGTAAAGTTCACATCACTAGAATTGAAACGAGTAATACATATTCGCGCAATATTTAAGTGGCTATTTGATGGCCATTGCCGTTCCGATCGGACAATAATGATAAAACATTTTATCGCCTATAAATACATACTATTAGATGCTTTTGTGTAATAGATTTTATGAATTAAATTATTTTAGTCTCCGGTATTATATGAGTCAATAGAAGTCACAATAAAATGTCAAATGCATTGCAGTCTTGCATCACTCCTTAACTGGTTCATTGTACTTGTTATTTCAGTAATCAAAAAATATATTGCAACTGACCTGCTAGTGGTAGCTTACTAAAAAGTCTTATTGTATTAGCAATAAGAGATAGAGTACATCAACAAGCAATAAAATAAGGCATTTTATATGCAATTGATGTAATATCGGCTAATAAATTAACAGGTATCTGTATAGAAACAATAAATTCTTATGATTATTTATTTTGTAAAGTATGAAAACTCTACATTTAACATCTTTAGTTGAAAGTAGGTACAAACTTATTAAAAAACCAAGCAATCAATGACTTCAGTGCAACAATACTTAAGACCGAATTCATTAATAAATCTACAACAGTATCGTAATCACAGAGACGTTACTAAAAATATACTTTCATTGAGTTTTTTGATGTTTAAAAAATCAAGAGAACTCTACACAATTCCCATACTACGCTAGCAGTGTTACCTGATGGAAAATGTTCCCCCCAATTTTAGGGAAATTAGATGTGTAAGGGAATAAAGTTAGACGCATTTTGGCGTTCATATAGGTATAAAAAAACAAGAATAGCTTTTTCTCTAAAACAAACAAGAAATATAGGCAAGGCGGCCTAAAAAAGGTCATCATTGTCACAAACACGTCAGTAAAAAATGATCATCATGATACAGATTTCTTTATTAGGGAATTTTTCTTCAAATTTTTCACAAAATTTGGAATAAATTGATTTTAAGATAGGCAACACTGTGTGCTCAATTCTTTCATCACAGGAGGAATACAGCCTCGCCTGACAAACGGTCGCGCGCCATATTTACCTAATTCACGCATAGTGATGTCATTGTTGTGTCACTAACGACCGGACCTTGTAGAAGGCTGTAACGAGTTATGGTAATCGAGTATTTTATGTGAAGACATGAGAATGAAATCTCTATATATTACGTTAATACATGCTATAATGTGAGTATTTAGGTTTATATTTGATTGCTAATAATGGTGTAGTCGTCTGCGCTAACGATATACGATGATAGGATGACAATGTGAGTAAGTCACTTAGTCTTTGGTTTCCAAGAGATCCTGAGAGATTCCAAATGGATTCCGCGAAAGGACGTATGTGATGGTTGAGGCCCTAATCTTGCATGACGGATACGCCTTTAAGCTTGAAGTTGCGGCCAAACAGCATTAGAATAGTTCCAAAAAACACATAAACAAAATAAAGCATCAACAAAAAAAGCTCGTTTATGATCATAGACATTTGCGTCTAGGAATTATTTTCTCATTGCAAGCCACATAATTAGAGTCGTTTATTGTCTACCCACACTGCTTACAGCATTAAACTTTGCCGCGTAGGTCGTAACGTGTGCCTGTATATGGCAATGATTATTTCATGATTTCGTCATTATCTACAAACATTAAGTTTGGTTTCTCAAGCTTTTTAGGATACAGCTTGAATGAGGTTTATTCTTGTACTAGTTTTTTCCTGCAACTTCGTCTGTTGACCAGCATAAAAAGGTTATATATGTCTCGTGCTAATAGTATCCTCATTATTACAAAAACGTCTTATAAATGTATTTTGTTAATTGTTATTATATCTTTACTGTTATGTTCTTTTCTTTCATACATTTTTCATTTTTATTTAAAAGAATGTGTGAATACTATTGTATCATTTTTATTGCCTAATACTTAAATTACTGTCTAATGCTAGTAAAGTATATTTCTATTTGTCTCCCGGTAAACCGTGGACACGGGAACAAAGTAGTAGCCTAGTTGCTAGTAGACACCTCCATATCCAAATATTAATTTAGATTTCAAATATTAATTCCCTGATTTATGCCTCTCAAGTAGTCTGTAGACATGATTATTTGAGATTGGAATAAATTATTAGATACTGGTTAATCTTTGTCTCCTTTGAAACTTGTTTAAATATACGAATCATCGGAATCTTAGTATTATTATCGAGCGATTTAAAACGAGACTAATAAGTTTGGAGCGATTTAGATAAACAACATCTGGAAACCATTAAACCGTAGTTTGTTCCGCAGAACTCTCAACGATATCAATTTAAAGTACAAACGCTTCTGAAGGGTTCCAGATAACTTAGATTGAACACAGGCCAGTCTGTATGGGCATTTAAGTAATTATTTAAATATAAATGTTGTTAAACATTGGTTCGCGTAAGTTTTAAGAGCATTCATTTATGAAAGACTTAAAAGATCTATGTCTACTACTAGCGACTCTCTTCGGCTTCACACAGATGCAATTATTGTAAAGATCTTTTTTATTTTTTAATATAAACAGCTCATGTTATTTATAACCTGTGAAAGAATTGTTATAATCGGTATCTGTATAGAAACAATAAATTTTTGAGTGTCTATTCATTACAATTAAAAAAAATCTTTCCTTTTTTGATAATATTAATTTAGAATTTCAGCAGTAAATAAAATATCTTTGCAATATTTATAGATTGCACAAAGGCAATGAATACCGAAAATTGCTGCAAAGCGATGTCAATGACTCTAAGTTTGTGCACAAAAAATGTTCCTTTGCTTATTTCATTAGCCCGTTTCCTCAATATTCCATCATGACTTCGTAAGGTCGTATCTTTCGCACATTTCTTTATTCATTACCCAACTGCTAAAAAATGTTTATTTTTCGGTTGTAGTTTGGATAAAATTTTGAAGCGAAATATGTTACTTCAATACTTTTGTGCAATAAATTATTAATTTAATTTTATAAACAAATGCATAGAGGCTTATACTAAGTGCTACCAAATATTGTTTAAATTTAATTAAAAAATTATTCATCAAAATACATTACAATGTTAAAACAATATTTGTTCACACAAAAATAGTCAACTTCAGAATGTATACATTAATTTATCGAATATTTTAATCTATTTGCTGCTATAATGCAACTTACTTATTTAGGTAATACGTATATACCTACTAGTTTTTCCAATTTGAATTATGTACCAGAACACAACATTTCCATTTTTGTCAAAGGAAGTTGGACAAACAAAGCAGCGTCATTCAGTGGACAAAAACTAACTAAGAACCTAAACAAGATGGCGTTTTCTAACAGATAGGTTTATACAGCGATACTGTCACAGATAATACTTATAAATTTTAGAGCTGACGTAATTCTGTCTGGGGAGCAATTAATGGGCAAAATAACAAACGTGAGGATGGATTTATCATGACTTACCTCATTGGCTTACAAAAAATTAAACCGTTAAATAGGATTCTATTAAAACTCGGGGTTTTAATTGTTGGAAGATTCATTTTAATTACTAAAATAATATAAACATTGAGCAATATTTTTACAAACTTTTAAATTAATAGTAAGTTATAAATGGTAAGGTGTCAATATGAGTAAGTATATATAGTGTTATGCCTATATATTCGCCAATTTTATTATTTTTATGGTTCTTATAGAAAATTTTGTTAAAATCATTTAAAAAAGATATTTGGTTTTATGGAATAAATTCTAGAAAATAAGTATATTAATTAAATTACCTATAATAAATAGAATTGAAATCGATCCATCTCTTTGAGACTGTCATATCACAGACGAACAATTTGAATGTTATCAAGTAAACAGAATAAGATTTGTAAATTGATAAGTAAAATCTTAGTATTATTATCACCATCAAATTAGATTAACAAATGCATTGCAATAAATAAAGCTACGAAGATAAGTATCGCTTCTTCCAAAACTGTCCATTTGTCCGTTTAAATTTAAATTACGCATATTTGCTAGAGGAAATAGCTGAGCTAATAATAAATCGTATCAGAGGTGACGTAATGTACGACATCACGGTCATAGTGTCAAGGTTTACAAGAATAATCATTGCAATATTGATTCATATAATTCTTTACGGAAATAAATTTAAATTCCTGCGACGTACAAACATGGCACAGAATTAAAAAAACAAAATTGGACGTATCGATGAAAAAAGCCCACCCATGCTTTGAATCTGATTTCCGAATGTCCTCCTTAATATTAAATTAAAGTAATAGAGATTATTATTAATCTATTGTAGTCTAAAATTATCTTTATGTTTCTTGAACTACTTAATTTTGATGTCTTGTGTTATCAACAAATTATAATTTAACAACAGGGTCATACAAAGTCAAACAAAGTAACTATCACCTAAAACAAGGGAGTGCTTATACATTTATCAGAACAATGACGTATACTAAAACAATTGAGTGTTTATAAGTAACAATTTCAACACATGCAGACTATTTGATAAGAAATGTTTCAGTCATAAAAATATATATTGGA